AGGGCGAGGAGGACAAGCCCAAGATCGAGGAGGTCGAGGACGAGGACGACAAGCCCAAGGACAAGAAGACCAAGAAGGTCAAGGAGCAGGAGACGACGAACGAGGAGCTCAACAAGACCAAGCCCATCTGGACGCGCAACCCTTCGGAGATCACTCCCGAGGAGTATGGCGCGTTCTACAAGAGCTTGACCAACGACTGGGAGGACCACCTCGCCGTCAAGCACTTCTCCGTTGAGGGTCAGCTCGAGTTCAAGGCCATCCTCTTCATCCCCAAGCGGTGCGTTCATCTAATTCTTATCTCACTCTGTTGCTTATGCTCGACGCAGTGCTCCTTTCGATCTCTTCGAGTCCAAGAAGAAGCGCAACAACATCAAGCTCTACGTCCGCCGCGTCTTCATCATGGACGACTGCGAGGACCTGATCCCCGAGTACCTGAACTTTGTCAAGGGTATCGTCGACTCGGAGGATCTCCCTCTCAACATCTCCCGTGAGACGTTGCAGCAGAACAAGATCCTCAAGGTCATTCGCAAGAACATTGTCAAGAAGTGCATGGACCTCCTCACCGAGATCGCCGAGGACAAGGACAACTTCTCCAAGTTCTACGAGTCGTTCGGCAAGAACTTGAAGCTCGGTATCCACGAGGACGCTCAGAACCGCAGCAAGCTCGCCGAGTTCCTGCGCTTCTTCTCGACCAAGTCGACCGAGGAGCAGATCTCTCTCAAAGGTGCGTTGTTTTCCTTCTTCAAGGATCTTAAGTTAACTTTCGCTAGACTACATCACCCGCATGCCCGAGGTGCAAAAGTCGATCTACTACCTCACCGGTGAATCCCTCGCCTCCGTTCGGGACTCGCCGTTCCTCGAGGTCCTCAAGAAGAAGGGCTTTGAGGTTCTCCTGCTCGTCGACCCCATCGACGAGTACGCGATCACGCAGCTCAAAGAGTTTGACGGCAAGAAGCTGATTTGCGTGTCCAAGGAGGGCCTCGAGCTCGAGGAGACGGACGAGGAGAAGAAGGCGCGGGAGGAGGAGGCGACCGAGTTCAACGAGCTGTGCACGACGGTCAAGGACGCGCTCGGTGACAAGGTGGAGAAGGTTGTTGTCTCCAACCGCATCACCGACTCGCCGTGTGTGCTCGTGACTGGTCAATTCGGGTGGTCGTCGAACATGGAGCGGATCATGAAGGCGCAGGCTCTGCGGGACTCTTCAATGTCGTCCTACATGGCGTCCAAGAAGACGCTCGAGCTGAACCCGACCAATGCCATCATCAAGGAGCTCAAGCGCAAGGTTGCCGAGGACAAGGGTGACAAGTCTGTCCGGGACCTGACCTACCTGCTGTTCGAGACTGCGCTCCTGACGTCTGGTTTCGCACTCGATGAGCCTACATCATTTGCCAAGCGTATTCACCGCATGATCTCGTGAGTGTTCTTGCTTTCTTTCGCTGCTTTGTGCTGACAGGATTTGCAGGCTTGGTCTGGACGTTGACGAGGACGACGAGGCACCGGCCGCTGCTGATGACGATGCACCGCCTCCATTGGAGGGCGCGTCGACGTCGGCGATGGAGGAGATTGACTGATAGACTCGCGCGCTTTTTGTATACTGCATTTCTTGTTTTCCCGTCGCAATCAACACAATTACATCTCTCTGACTCGCATTTCATTATACGTTCTGAACCTATTAGAGTTGCCCACGACGGATCGAGTATCAGCGGCGTGCTTTATCCTGTTCCATTGTTATTATGGTGTGAAACGGTGTGAAGGCGACGAGACAATGGGAGTCAAGTCGACGCGACAATTGGGTGACACGCTAGTCACGCGTCCCAACTTGGACTCCTTCCTCATTGTTCTCCATACACGGCCATGCCCTCTGATTGAAATCCCTGCTTAAAGACCACCTTACGACTCTGTATTCTATCGACCGACCCGCGCACCATGTCTGCTCAAATCCCCACCGCTCCAACTGCTATTTATTCCATCGTATGACGATTCACGCTCCAACGCGTCGACAGTCTCTTTAGACCTTCCACAGATGACCCCTGCTCTTCAGTCACCCATCCGTCTCGACGCCAGACGTTGCGCTGTCCGTGACTTGTTTTTGAAACGCGTCGCCACAGCTTACCTCTTTCTAGCGTCGACCAACACGTCGCGTTTCTCGTCCGCGCCATTCTAAACGCATCGTCGAGTCTACCCTGCACCCATTCGACCGTCTGCCGTGGATATCCGCCCTGGATGTCTCGCCCGACGTGCTCGACCCTATAGACATTGCAGACCTTTCCCAGCTCGTCGTCGACGACGAATGTGGCGCACCATTGTCTGGCCCCATTCGGCGACGACGGACCTCGTTACGCTCGAGCCCCATTGCGCTCGTGCCCAAAGACCCCGATACGACCCCAGCCTCGCGCTTTAATCCCTCTCGCGTCCTCTTTCACGATCTCATGCCAACATGGCATCTCACACCCTCGACCATTTCTTGCGGTCACAACGCACGGTCCTAATCTGCGCCCTTGTCGCGCTGACCACTCTACGCTCGCCCATAATTTCCCATATTTCCGGCATAATCCCATGTTTCAATCTGTATCATGCCCATTTACTGCCATATAACCTTCGATTCTTCTTTTGCTTTCAGCCTAACGCTGTTGTTCTCCTGCATTTAGTACTCTGATACTTACTTACCGAGCTCTGCATTTGCTATGATCCATGCATGTATAATAAACCAAATCGCCTTTCTCGAGTCACAACCATGTCTGAGCGTGTAATCAACTTTGGAGCCGGTCCATCTGCGCTGCCAGAATCCGTCTTGAACGAGGCCGCGGCCGCGCTACTCAACTTTAATGGCACTGGAATCGGCATTGCTGAAATCTCGCATCGGTCCAAGGAGTTTAGTGCCTTCCTCGTCGAGACAGAGGGGCTCATTCGGACTCAGCTCGACATCCCGTCGACACACAGTATCTTGTTCACACAAGGCGGAGGATCTGCCCAGTTCTCGGCCGTCGTTCTCAACCTCCTCGCACGCTACCGGCTGCTGCATCCAGACCAGGATGACGCGGTCATGGATTATGTCCTCACTGGCTCGTTCAGCAAAAAGGCCGTCGAGGAGGCCCAGAGACTCGGCGGTGCGAGGGTGAATGTAGCTGCAGACGCTCGTGCACAGTCCGAGGACGGCAAGTCGTTCAACAATGTCCCGTCGCAATATAGCTTCTCCCCCGACCCGGCGTTGATATACTACTGCGAAAACGAGACAGTGAATGGCGTGCAATTCTCGGACGACGTCTCGTCCCCCACGTCCTTCCCGTTCCACCTGCTCCCTCAGAACGCGCTCGTCCCACTCGTGGGCGACTATTCTTCGTCGTTCATGTCGCGGCCCATCACCCGCCTCACAGACCATGCGGTCATTTTTGCGGGTGCACAAAAGAACATTGGGCCAGCTGGGGTTACAATCCTCATCGTGCGGAAAGACTGTCTGGTCGACGTCGACGCAGCAGCCAAGCTTGGTGCAGCCCCTGTGCCGTGCACCATGTCGTACAAAACGTTGGCGGACAGCGGTAGCATGTACAACACGCCCTCGGTCCTCGCGATATACATTTCGGGACTCGTTCTCAGGCGCTCGGCGCAGCTGGGTGGGGTTCAGTATTACCAAGAGACGAACACGAAAAAGGCGGCCAAGGTCTATGCGGCTGTCGCCGAGGGAGAGGCGAGGGGCGTTTTCCGCGGCAAGGTGAAGGAGGGCCACCGGAGCCTTATGAATATTGTGTTTGACGTTGTCGGCGACGAGGCAAAGTTTGTCTCTGGCGCAGAAGCGGCGGGCATAAAAGGCATCAAAGGACACCGATCTGTTGGAGGTGAGTGGCCGAATGCTTTCAGTTCTCGTCTGACCCTTTCTAGGGATCCGCATCTCGTTGTACAACGCCGTAACGGAAGAGCAGACGGACACTCTTGTTGCATACATGAAATCTTTCACTTAAACATGATATCGGAACGTAAAACATATTTCACGCCGCGCAAAACGGGTGATCCCTCGTGGAGTAGACAGTCTCGACCATGTCGATGCAATAGAGCAGTTCCCCGGGTGAGGGGGGCTTTGATGACTTGTTTGTTCTTGTAGAACAGCGTCTGAGACCAATGAGATGCGTGAACAGGAAAAAGTGGTCGACTACCTCGCCCCCTTGCACGCCGTCTTCGTACCCCGTCAGATACAGTAAGAGTGTCCACTGTGACTTGGCCCCTGTTATGGCATCTCGGTAGTCATCGTCGTAGTGCGGTCTGTGGACAGTGAGACATGTGGAAAGAGTGTCGCATATACGAACCCGAAATGCTGAGACTCGGTGTACTTGTACACTCGAATATTGGAATTGAAAGAGTGAGCCGCAAATGGCAGGTGCGGGCCGAACATTTCATAGAGACGCGCAGCAAACTCGGTAGAAGTTATCGAGTGCCGGTCTGTGCAGAGTCAGAACCAGTTCGTCTCTAGAGTACAATCCCACAATTATGTCTCTCTGCTTCCCCGCGCTTCTTGGGCGGGGTAAGCTCGAGCGGGAGGCTGTCGATGAATTTCACAAAGGATTTACATTCACCAGGAGAGAAGATGTTCTAGTCTATATTCATGAAAGTGCGGAGACCTGTAAGACAAGCACAGACGTCGAGGAGAATAATTTGGTCTTCGAGTAGCGTTTGGCACTCGACTTGGGATTTCGGTGCAATGTCCGGGAAAACGACCGAGGGTTTCTGTTTCTTGGGTGGTGATGGCTTGGGCATGAGTGATCACTCCATCACTTGGCATCAAACTTTGAATCACTGGAAGTAACTCGTTCCCCCCCGGCCTCCCTCGTCCTGGGGAAACTCCCAAAGTGACCCAGGGGTGCCGGGGACCTCTCCAAACCTCCCAGGACACGCAGAATATTTTAAAATAACCATAAAACCGTTTTACAAGCGGATTTCGATGAAATCATGATTTACGGTGTAACTTGACGACGGGGGACGATAAAAAAGCCGTTTAAAGGCTAAAAACACTGCCCCAACCAGGATCGAACTGGTGATCTCTCGATCACGTGACTGGGACACCAGTATTACGTAACAGTCGAACGCCTTAACCAGCTGGGCCATGGGGCAGTTGGAAGGCATTCGATGCCGTTAGCTTTGTTACGATGTAGAGAGGCGTGCAAGGAGATTTGAGGAGGATCTGAGGGACCTGACTACTTCCAGGAGTGTGCTTCTGGCAAGGGAGGGCAAGGGGACTTGGATTTAAATCGTAATAGTATTATCGAGACGGTTCTTCGCCGAACAACCACCCGTCCAGCCTTCTGCGGGTTCAAAGAGTTGTCTGAGAGCATTTTAGAGGACCCAGGAGAGTCAGCCTTGCAGTCATCTCACATGTACTCGATGAACAACCTCTCCGGGCGAGAGGTGTCTGGTTCACGCAGGATAAGGAAAGAAAGGGCGTTCAGGAAAGTAGAGCAAACAAACCGTTACAAACACGTCTAGCCACAGACGCACCCGTTACCGCATTGCTCCATCTGAGGCAATGGCGATCTCAGTTGCGCGGACATGAGACAATGATTGAAAGTCAACAGTCTCACTTGGACAACAAACTATCATTTGAAATACTTTGTAGAAACGGGCTTCACGGTCTCCCAAGCCCTGTCCAGTACTTGGAGGATCTCAACCGCTAGGGGATGTTACACAACGTGTCAAAGCGAGTGGAAGTGTACTCACGGAGAGGACCCTTCTCAAGATCGACAAGATTCTATACTCGAATCAGTATGGCTTTGATGACTGAGCAGAGAATATGACCTGCTCGATGTGCTCTAAGCTGGAGGCACCTATGATTACCGCATCACCACATTCGCGCTTCATCAAGCTGTGGTGCGAAATCCAACGCAAAGCAACTTCAGCCATAGTCAAGTTGTGTTTCTCGACTACAGGGCGGATGGTAGCCAATGCACTGAAATACTGCTCATTCCAATATCTTTGGTACGTCAGGAACTAATTTTGAAGTTCAGAGAAAAGCATTGACCTGTTTCGATAGTTCTTGCCCTGGTTGCGCTCGGGGTCGAATCTCGAGCCCGCCTCGGGCCTGTCGTCAAGGGAGGCGTACCTGCCCGTCAAGAAACCTCCCGCAAGTGGATTAAACTCGTAGAAAGAAATTCCAAACTTGCGAAGGCATGGGAACAGCTCTGGCTCGACCGCACGATGAATGGCATTGTAGATGCCTTGGTAGGCCGTCGGCTTCACGTAGCCATTCGCCTCGCATATCTTGACCATTTCCGCCACTTCCCACCTTGAGAAATGTCAGACATTGACCAGAGACGAGTCAAAAGCTTACGAGGCATAGTTGCTAATCCCGAACCGCTTGAAATAGCCCTCTTTGTAAAGGGAATCGACGCCTTTTAGAGTCGTTTCGTAACTAACGGAACGGTCTGGAGCATGAAGATACCACATATCGATGGACCTGCACGGATCCATGCATATTTTGCACCGGCAAAAGTAAAGTGGGACCTACGGCACTTGCAAAGCTTTGAGGGATGCCATGAGATGCTTCCTCAAGTCTTCCGGCGAATGGGTTACGCCAGAATGAGGCTGAGCACAGAATTCATATAGCGAGACAGACCCTGTATACCACGCTTACTTCGAGCTTGGTCTCGATAATCAAGCCTTTGTCCAAGCCTTGGGCTTTCCAGTTGTTGAACAGTTGACCGAGGTACTCTTCGCTCGTCCCGCCACAGTAGGTGCGAGCCGAGTCGATTTCAGTGTGTCCATGGCTCAGAAAGGCGTTCAAAATGGTTTCGACGTCCTTCAAGTCGTGAATTCGCGCGCCCTCTTTGCCTGGAGCGCCAAAGGTTGATGCGCCCTGGAAGATAAGCACGCAACATGCAGACTGACTATATTTACCATAACAACTTCAAGGGCGCTCTTCTGGGCGGGGAATGCTGTGGTGAAGGCCATGGAGTGCTAAACCCACGCGCTCATTGGATGTGATGATGCGGACGTTTATTCATATTCAAACTACCGCGACGACTGCCTCGTGAGTGCCCACGACCATGGGTGCGAATTTAAAGATATTTTGCTGTTCAGACGAGCGCGATAGCACGGCACGAAGGTAGCAGTCGGCGGGGAGCGGGACGAAGAGTTTGCCGGAGAACTGGCACTACGTAGGTCTCGGTGATGAACGATGTGAAATATAGGGGACTCATCAGAGAGGCCCCTAAACTCATTCAAGACACTTTGGCCGAGTGGTTAAGGCGATGCCCTGCTATCAACACGATATAGGCATTGGGGTCTCCCCGCGTGTGTTCGAATCGCACAGGTGTCGGATATTATTTATTTTGCCCCGGAAGACTACCTTCTTTTTTGACCACAAGACAGGAACGCCGACGCAGAGCCACAGAAGGACAGCCCTCAAGCCTTGGCAACCACTAGAAGAGAAACCAAACAGTTGTGAGAAAGGTGTCGTGATCAAGACGCGCTTGCCATCAGCCACGTCCAAGATGTTGCCTCAACTTAAACGATATGCTCAACTGCTCCTCTTCGATGCAAAGTATTTCTGGTGGCTCGCGTCCTTGGTCATACTGGGCGACTTTGTTCTCTCCCAGCTTATCATACGCTTTGTCCCCTGTTCGTCGACTTGTAAACCTTGGAAACTGAAAGCCGACCGCGTGCAGACACAGAAATCGACTGGGAAACGTACATGATCCAAACGGATGTATATCTTCAAGGCGAACTGGATTACTCCATGATAACTGGGCCCACCGGACCATTAGTGTACGTCCCATACAACACTCGCTACTCCGCTAATTCACGCGATTTAGGTATCCTGCCGGGCATTTATATATTCATCGCATCCTGCATGCAATCACCGGGTCTGGGACCAACGTTCGGATGGCCCAACAAATATATGCCGTCCTTTATATCGCGTCTCTCGCCCTCACTTGCACAATATATCGTTTGGCTGGTGGAATCCCAAATTGGGTCCTGTTATTGCTCCCCTTGAGCAAGCGGTTACATTCGATATTTGTCCTCCGTCTATTCAACGACTGCTGGGCCGTCGTATTCCTCCAAATCTCGGTCATCGCATACCAAACTGGTTACGATGATATCGCTACATTGCTATTCAGGTACATCCCTAATTGTTTAAACGACGCATCATTCACTGCATCTCAGTCTCGCGCTATCCGTCAAAATGTCTGTATTGCTCTTCCTACCTGCTCTCCTCATACTTCTCTTCAAACGCCTCGGCCTCCTCGATACCCTCCGCCACGTGTTAACACTCGGCGCCTCGCACGCCCTTCTCGCACTCCCATTCCTGGAAGAAGACTATTGGGCGTACTTGCGATCAGCATTTGACCTCTCCAGAGTATTTTTATTCAAATGGACGGTCAACTGGAGAATGTTGGGTGAAGAGGTGTTCCTAAGCCAAGAGTGGGCCAACGGTCTTCTGCTAGGCCACGCCTCCATCTTGATCGCCTTTGGTGTTTTTGTTTGGTGCAAAAAAGACGGGGGCGTATGGACGGTGTTGAAGCGTGGGCTGACGAACCCTCAAGTCCCCGCAAGTCCTGGGACCGTGAACGCAGATTGTTCGTTATTTCATCGTCTCTTTTTTTCCCGCATTCAATATCCTGGCAGATATCGCAACATTGTTTTTCACTTCCAATCTCATCGGCATTATATTTGCACGTTCCCTTCACTATCAATTTTATTCTTGGTACGCCCAACAGCTACCCTTCTTGGCCTGGAGGACGAGACTACCTGTCTATGCCAAGTGAGTGACACGACGACGCTCAGCTCCCGCTCAACGATCCCCAGAATATCTCTGCTACTTGCAATCGAATACTCGTGGAATATATTCCCGTCAACGCCGTTCTCCTCTACGCTTCTACTAGTAGCCAACGTCGTCCTACTCGGTGGTCTGTGGACCGGATACCCGAATGGCCTCCAATAATTTAATTTAATTTATCCTGAACCCATCCCCAGTACGAATGTACTTCTGCCCCCGCGAGGAAGTACCAACACCGTCTCAGCACCATGAGCCTGGTATGTCTCGGTGCTGGGAACGGCCATCGATCCCATCGTTACTTCTCCTGCAAGAGGCAACGCTGTGACGGTGATTTTGGGAAGAGTCAGCTCCCCATGATGCAGAGCAATCAGTGTGATTGGCACGCTGAATGTAGCGTCGTCTTTGGCCGCAAAGTCTCCTCGTTTCATCCCACTGACCAACCAATCGCGCACCATCTCCTCGACGTCGAATCGCATCGTGTAAGATCGTTGTTGGTCATCAAAGCTAGATCCCCAGTGGAAAGACGTGTGAATGGTGAGGTTGGCGGAAATGGGCTGTCCGGCGTATAGCGACGTCGATGTAGGGTTTATCAAACGAATAGATGCTGCGGCGACAATCTGGAAAGACCATCTCAGGGCGCGGTACACATCCAAGAAAGGAGTGGACCAACATTCATGTAAGGCACATCCACAGGTATCCTTATCTCTCGCCACTTGCCCTCCGAAGGATGAGGATGCTTGTGTTTGTGAAGAACCTCGATTACTTGGCGGAGAGATTCATCCATGTCACCCAACACATCCGGAACGTCAAGCTCGCCAGACATGCCGTACATTTCCACCCAGCTGCTGTCTTGCTCTAGTGCCTCGACAATTCTATTCACGAGCAAAAGCCTGTTGGCCAGTTGCGATTTTGAATCTGAGAGCACATTTTCCACGGCGCTCTCTATTAAAGCTTCCACCTCTGAAAATTGTGAGTGATTCGCCGTCTTTCGTCAGATTGCGCTACCTTCGCGCAGCATTCTGTAGCTGATACTGAACGTCACTGAATCTTGCACTGTTGACCGATGAGAGAGCGCCAGAATAAAGGATGTCACAACTTACCTGGTCCGTTGGCAGACTCGAGGTAGAAGAGGAAATTGGCCGGTTGAGCGGGTGTTACAGTCTGGTGCAATCAGTCAGGGTCCTCAACTGCTCGATTGACGTACCACAACGCTCTGCGCTTGAGGCGAACACGCCACTATCTTGACACCATCCAGGCCGCCTTTGGGCATCTCAATGCGAGCAGCAGATATGCGAACGTGTTGATGGCTTGTCGTAGAGACGGTAAACTTGGAAAATAATCTACAGTAGTCAGTCAAACGTCGACGCTGAATCATGTTGGAAACCAAACCTGTTTCCGCGGAAGAAATCTTCGACATTCACCGCCACTGGTTGCGTGGTCGCCACAACTCGCGCCAGGTGAAGAGTCCTGGGGATATCGGGCTCTGCGACGGTAACATACTCCACCTCGACATCCGTTTTCTGCAACCAAGTTGAGCAAGAGACCAAAGCGCCGACGGGGTGCAGACCATTGCATGAAAGGCGGAGGCATCCGAGTAGGGGATTAGAAATTCGAGATGACTAGCTTCCGGAAGATCCACGAGGGATATACACGTATCATCAGCTTGGAGCGGATCACGGTCGCTTTCCACTGCAACAAGAGTTAGTGGTTAACTCATGGTGCAGGTGACCTCTACATTTGCTCAAGCATGTTGTTTGCTTGTATCGGAAGGTCACAGAGGGCACGTGGATCTTGAGGGAGGCTTTGGCAACATGGTTTCGACCAGTCGAGACGGCGATAAGAAGGTTGGGTGGTTTGCCTAGCTCGACTGGGAAGAGATCAGCGAGATGAACATCAAGTCGCCAAAGTATTCACCGAGATTTGGTTGCTGGAGGCGGACGTCTAGAGCCAACAAATCACGCGGTATTCGAACCAGCGTAAAGGCGTTCTTGTGACCGGATTGTTTGCCCCCGGGCAGCGTTTTCTTATGTGACCATTGGAAGACCAAATGTGACACTCGGGCCTCGGTACTCTCGAGAAGATATGTACCCGCGGAGGATGTCTTGGGACTGTGTTACAAAGGGCGTTCATACTGGGCATCTCACGCACTGGGCAGAATAAAGTCGTTTCCGTCTTTCCAGGAGGTATCGGTTCGCTGGGAGCGGCGAATCTTAGGCGCTCCCCATCTCTTCCTGATAACGTGGCAACTATTTCATCGACGGGAATAGCCTGAATCATGGTGAGTGCAAAGAAATGCGCTTGTTCGAACCCTTACACATGGAAGATGGTTATGAACAACAACATCGAGAAGGGACCCATCCCTGTCACCGACAGGCCTTGCGGTTGACGAGACATGTATTGACATTGCAGGGTGTTCTGGATGCGACAAGTCTGGGAAAAAAAGGTTGGTTGTTTTGTATAACGCAAGCAAATATTCTAACCGGAATCAAGGGCCGCAGCAGAAACCTTCATCGCCTGGACGAGACGCGATATGTATTCTGTGCTGTCTTCTTCGTGCATCAACAATTCCAGACCCGCCGTGTCCACGTATGTCTTGAGAAACGACAGGAGGATATGAATCCACTCGCGATCTTTAGATTTGTCCAATTTAGCGTGCGTGTCCAGTGCCAGAGACAGCATGAGCGACTCCAAGGACGTCCACATATGCGGAGCATAATGAGCCGGCAACGATGTATACGTAGTCAAGGCCTCGGCAAGGCGTCCGCGGTGTCTATGCGATTCGATTATTATGGTGTGAAATATGACCAAGGAAGATACTTACACGTCAAGAGCTGCTAGGCTTCCGTGCAACCTGAGGGCAAACTTGCGACGACCTGCCTTGGCATACATGTCAATCGCACGATTTGTTATTTCCACGTATGTATCGTAGAATGTATCCCTGTTATTGATGGAATCCAAAATGTCTTTGCTCGATATTGTCTTGTCTGAGCCAGAAGATTCGGCCGACGCGAGAGCATTGGAGAATGGAGGACGATCAGGAAGGTGACCGACTTTGATGCCGATGCTGTCCAGCTTCAATGGTGTAAGAAGAGGTCGAAATGTGCGCGGGGAAGGATAGTACCTGGTTTCGAGCTAGTTCTAATAGCTCGCCCTTTCCGGCATTGAACGTGCTCAGCTTGGGGCCTTGCAAATCCGACGGTGTGGCCCATGTATCGCATTGCTCGACGACACTGAGCGCAGAGGAGTAAGTCCACGCCTCGATGAAGAATTTTGGGATCGTGTCCTAGGATGCATACAGCCTGACAGAGAGCATCGTGATGAAGAACCGCACCTCGACTTCACGTAGCCGACGACCAAAAGCTCCAAGGAAGGCGGCCGCTCTTTTGCCAACGTCGTTGATTCGGCCCAGATTGGCCAAGAGTTGACATTGCCGAGCCAGGAGATATATTCGAAAGTCAAACACCGAGATGGTGTTGGCGAGAATGAGATCGCGGTAAGGTTTCCTGGAAATGGATAACAGGGGCGAAGCATCGTCGTTG